TTGGGTTTGTTGATTCCTATTTTTTGTCCGTCCTTGCTTCATGATTGAACCACTATATAGTATATCTATACATATGAAATACATGTATATCATATATGGCAAGTATCTGTATCCGGGTTTCCTAAACTGGGGGATCCCCAAAACCATGGTTTTCAATATTAAAATTGCCCTATTGTGGGTGATTTGGGGTACCCCCATTTCAGGAAACCTCCATATCTATATATATATATATATACATCCTCTGGAAAATTAACATAGACCCTGAAAATCACCAGTTTTCAGTGGTTTCACTCGTCTTCCAACCCTTCTCTGGCAGGGTCTATGTTAATTTACTGAAGGGTAAATGATGGTTCTGTCCCGTGATTTTCCCAGCTCTAAACCTCTATTTTTCTCTGGATCTTATATCTATATCTATATATATATATATTATACATGTATTGGATTGCATTCATTAATCATTAACTATTCTACCAAACCGACCTTTTCCAGCTCCGAGCTCAACGAGCGGAGCGCTCCTCAAACTGCACATCTAGATCTGGTGGCTCGGGCGTATGTGCACGCCGCAAGCGGCGATACTCTCCTGGAACGGAAATTGGGGTGAAGGCTCAAAGTTTCCATTATATTCCGACATGATTAGTAATATTCGGATTATCCAATGTATATATATATATATATCTATCTATCTATCTATCGATCTATCTATTTATCTATCTATCTATCTATCGACCTACCTACCTACCTATCTAAATATACTATACTATGAAACTTTATCATCTCAATGATGATTCGATAATATTGATGGGAAATTTACTGATGAACTCACATGAATATTAGATGGAAAGCTTCATAGTATATTTATATATAGTGAATAATCCGAATATAAATATTCATGTCGAACTATAAAAAAAATATTTAATGTCAAATGATAAGAAAACAATGTGCCATGGAAAGTTTATTAAATACTGAGACGCGAGATCATGTGAATATTGATATTCATGTCCGAATTTGATGGAGAGTTTAAGATGTTCTAATTAATGACCTATGATCTAACAAGATTAATTTGTATATTCTAATCTTGATACTCTCTTTGATAGTAATAGCCTAGCTACATTCTAATATTATATTAATATCATTTAGTATATTCCTATTTATCTGAGATCTATTGTGTAATACCTAATCATATGCTTGCTTGATGTAGTCATATATTGATTATCGATATCTATTATCTAATATCAAACATCTGTTATCAGTATCATCTGAATGATTATTTAGCAATATTCTTCAAAAAAACGGATCAGTTTTGACAAGTTTTTATATTTCGGAATATCAGATTGTACAATTAGTAAGTCTACAGTAGAAAATTCCTAGAAGATTGATCATCAGTCAGTCATGTGATTAACTGTTAATAACTAACATTAACTAACCATATTGACTATCACGAAAAGTATCAGTATCTGAGTATCTGTATCCAGTATCTGCCGGCGAATGCATCCCCTGCATCCAGATTCACCAATCCAAAAAAACCGGGATTGATCACCAATTCACCCACCGGCCTAGGGTTCTGTAGCAATGGCACACGTCATCCACAAAAGGTGCCAAAAATCGAAACTTAGCTAATCATCAAAAGATCATGCAGATCCAATCAACCGCTAGAGAGTGTTTTGTATCCCAAAATCTCTGGTTGGTGGTTGAGCCCTACCCCTCTGAAAAATGATGGACTGAGTAACAGTTGGGATGATTATTCCATTCCCAACTGAACGGAAAGTCATAAAATTCCATGGTTCCAAACCCCCAACCAGCAATGATAGTTGTGGGATTTTCTGTGGCAGATGGGATTATATGGAAAAACAACATGTTCCAAACCACCAACCAGTTAAGTTGGTTAAATCCACCATTAAATGGTGATGTTCCATAGTTCTGTAACAAATTACCAGGGGGTATTCCAAATAGCCATAGCCAAACCACCAACCAGATCTACTGCCATCCACCAAGCCCTACGATTTCATCGGGTGCCCGTCGCGTTTTACGACACCTCGAGGTGCTCCGTAGACCGGACGCTTGTGAGCAGCACGGATCTGAAGACGATTGTCTGCGCCAGAAAGTTGAAGTGGGCTATATGATTCACATGGGAAACTATTATTTGCGTGAGGATAATAACTGGATGGACCTCATCCTGGATAATAACTGGATAATAATATTATTCACGAGTCCATCTTATTTGTGGGCTTATTATGAGAAACTGTGAGGATAATAACTGGATGGACCTTTAGGATGGGCGTATTTTAGAAATTCTGAGGATCATTCTAGGATGACTGTGAGATGGCGAGATGATTGTGAAGAAAATGGCTGGTGTACCCAAAAAATGGTCTCTTAACATAGAAGCCATGGCCCGTTTGATGAGAGGGTATACGGAACGCATGGGGCACCATGGAATGGTCATCCCTCCATAATTCATGGGATTCAAAGAATTCATGGGAAAATGTGTACACAAAATCGAAATGCCTAGATTGATGACCATTCACCATACGGGTATATTATCCATCGTCCAAGGCACGGATGTCGCCACAGATGCTCTTTTTTGCAGCCGGAAATATTGCCATGTTTGATTGTCGGAGGGTAACTGGGACTATTACCGGGACTTGAAGTCTGAAATCATTTCCACTGATCCAGTGGAAATTTATCGGGCTATGATTTTTTCCTTTCGGGGGTGTAAGAATCATTGCTGGGAACACAATATACTAGGGAGCGGCATTCAAATCATTGAATACGTCAAAATATGTCAAAATTCAGCCAATAGTCTCGGATCACTCCAAGAAAAAATCTAGGTGCCAGGTGTGCTGATCAATTTCCTCAAATTTGCGAATCACCAGGTAGTAAAAGGCAAATTACTTCACTTCGAATGATCCCCACCATGACATTTATATATATATATATACATTTTCTTACTGGCAAATCTTCTGGCATTCTATCTGCCATATCTTCTGGCATTCTATCTGGCATTCTATCTGGCATATCTTCTGGCATATGTTCTGGCATATCTTCTGGCATATCTTCTGGCATATCTTCTGGCGATCTGGAAGTCGCGGTTGAGGTCCGGCAGTGCCCACTGCGATCTGGAAGTCGCGGTTGAGGTCCGGCAGTGCCCACTGGGATCTGGAGCTCGCGGTTGAGGTCCGGCAGTGCCCACTGCGACCTGGAAGTCGCGGTGGAGGTCCGGCAGTGCCCACTGGGATCTGGAGCTCGCGGTGGAGGTCCGGCAGTGCCCACTGCGACCTGGAAGTCGCGGTGGAGGTCCGGCAGTGCCCACTGGGATCTGGAGCTCGCGGTGGAGGTCCGGGAGTGCCCACTGGGATCTGGCGCTCGCAATGGAGGCCCGGCTGTGCCCACTGGGATCTGGACTGCGAGGAGGAGGAGGCGGAGGAGGATGCGGAGGAGGAGGAGGAGAACAGCTCTGATAAAATCTAACAACCCTCACCTGGCAGGTGGGGAAAAAACAAAACACTCTGTTCAAACGTGGTAACTCGCCGGGGACCGGAGGATAGAGACACTCACCCTGTCACTCTACAGGGCTCCCAACACCGCAGATACCCGGGAGAAACGCTTCGATTATAGGGAAAAATGTAAAATATATATCCACCTAAAATGAAACATCCAAATGCTATAGAAAATCAATCATTTCCCTCTCCCCAAAATACCCCTGCTCGTGGAAAGCCGTGTTCTGGAAACAACAAAGTCCTAGAGTTGATGGGTCTACGTACCAATATATCTATAGACTAGTGTTTCTTGGCGATGTTGTATGTATGTATGTACGCATGTATGCATGTACGCACGTATGTATCCGACAACTTCCTCTCAACAATTGTGCGCTGCTCAGCTTCTCTGATCCTGCGCATATCCACCTGGATCACCTTGCCCTCCTCCAACACGCCTGTAACCTCTTGGCCTCAAGCACCAGTTTGTTTGATGGACTTTTTGTCTTTGCAAGCCAAATCCACAGGCGTTGCGCCATCTTGGTCTCGCTGCCCCCGTCAACGTCGCTTGCTCTTGTCAGTGCCAGTGTTAGACAAACGTGTTTGGAGGAGCTTCATAGGCTCATGCTTGGTTACAGCCACAAGAGAAGGCAGGGTAGGCGCAAGCCTTGAATGGTGATTCCCAGTTGCCGTGTTTAAAGACCAAAGGGTAAATGGCTGCAAATATCACATATGTTTTCAAATTAAGTTACTGTACATACATTACATTGCATTGCATTGCATTGAATTGCATTGCATTGCATTACATTACATTACATGCATAGATTAATTACATATGTATGTACGTACGTACATATGTCCATAACTGCATGTAACGTACATAGGTACATACGGACATATGATGACATATGATATATTAGTACATACGAACTTTACTCAATTACAATATTGTTCGTGTTCTGCTTCAGCAGAATGTATCGTAGTATACCACGATCACTGTGTAGTAACTATTAAAGCATTGAATCATCACTGAAAACCAATTTCATTTTTCTGTTTCCATTCTCATTACTCATGATTCATGAACGATGTTCGTATTCACTATTACTAATACATTATCATGGTGTGATGATCATGGTATTTGTATTTTATATATTATGATTCATTATGATGTCATGTCAGTTCATGTCGGGATGATACAGTACGTGTTAGAATTACATCAATCAACCAAGCACTGCACTGTATAGGTGATAATTTGATCTGTTTCCCTATGCTTGCAGGGATTGTCAAGTGACATTTTTGATCACCAAAGAGTATGTGTTCAAACCCAAAAATATTCAATTGAGCCATGGCAAATACCCCTATCCCATCCCGTTACCGTTACACTAGTTAGCAAATAGGTCTCCTATCTTAAGCTTTTCAGACTCCCCAATAAACCGCTCAGTATAATCCGTAGTACTGACCCATCAACCGTCATTGTTTAACTATGCCCCCCATAGTTTTGATGGTTCGAACCGATACTGATTGGTGGTATACCTACCCCTCTGAAAAATATGACTTCGTCAGTTGGGATGATGACATTCCCAACTGAATGGAAAGTCATGAAATTCCATGGTTCCAAACCAGCAACCAGGATATACCCTCTGGTAAACTGTCACATTTTTCTATGGAAAATCAGCGTTTTTACTAGGTAAATCAACCATAAATGGACATGTTCCATAGTTCTCTATGTTTACCAGACCAGGTAAATGAACCAGTTAAGTTGGTTAAATCCACCATTTTTCTTGGTGAAATCCCATATGAATGATGGGTGAAATTCACATTACCCTCGTTTTCGCCTTCATCGGATCGAATCTCAAAGCGCGGCTGGTCCTTCGAGAAGCTCTGGTCGACGACCATTCCTTGGTGCAGTATGAAATTGTAAAGTGCACTTGATTCGATATATCCTACCCTCTGGTAATTTGTTACATAGCTATTGACAATGGCCATAGAAATAGTGGATTTACCCATTGAAAATTATGATTTTCCATGGTTATGTTAGTTTACCAGAGGGTAATATTGTTTTAAGGAATATAAAACAATCCCGAAATATCCGAAGTACGATCACAAATTATAGTCGAATTTCATATTCCGATTACCATAGCGATTTAGGATAAAATATAGTGGTTTGAACTATGTCCCAATAGTGTTTTTTGAAATATAAAATCGCACTATTTTCTAAAGTATATTGATTCTTGTTTTTACGCATTATAGAATGAAATTCGAGCTGAAACTTATTCAAATACTTGAAGATTTATATTATGTGTATTCGACAGGTAGCTATTGAACACGGCAACCAATGAAACACCAATAAACTATTTCTACGACGGATGTTCCCAATACGGTTGGATATGGTTGGCACATGAATGATAGAGGAGTAGACGGTCTAATGTTCGTCACCTGGATCAACAAGGGATTCATGCCATAATCTTTAATGAGGTATACCCAATGCCATAAACTCTCAATCAGGATTTATGAGATTTCGCAATTTACACCCAGTGAGGTGTTCACCAGGTAACTTCTAAAACCAATGATAAATCTATCCGAAACTGGGGGGCATTGGTGGGTTTTTCCACATAAATGGGATATAATTCATGAATGAACCATCATGGGATTGCCAATACCAAATGTGGTTTACCATCAATGAACATTTGGTCTACCCTCTGGTAAACTCACATTTTTCTATGGAAAATCCATGAAAATCCACCCATTTTGCTGGGAAAATCCACAAAAATTCTATGGCCATTATGGCCACATGGTTACAGGGATGGTCCCGAGAGCGCGGAGTCCAAAGGATCATCCCTTTTCGACAAATTCTACCGATGAATATCCCAATGATGGGACACATATCCCAGGAAAACCACTTTTCTTGGGAAAAATGAGGGGTTTCCATCGTTGAAAACAATTTTTCATTTTTTTTGCCCAGGGTGGAGACATCCCTTCAACGATCTCCCAGCTGCGCACATCCCGCACATCGAAACCATCAAAATCCGGCAGAGCCAGGACCTGTAGAGATTTTTCACCCAAAAAAAATGGTGGTATAATTGGGATATAGAAGGATATCGTATTGGAAAATTGATTGGATAGTAACGGAATATTGGTTTTCACCGCTTGGGTTTGTTTGAAAATAGGGTACCCCAAAATACAGTTGTTTAGAGTTGTTTATCATTATCTTCACCATTAGACTGACATTTTGGGTGTTTACCACATTTTCAGACACCATTTGGTGCCACCCATGGCAAGCTCGGAAATCCCAGAACCAAACAGAGGTTGTCAGATGGGAAAACCTCTATGCCTTCTCGGAACTGGAAATGGGGAGATATAAACTATGAAAATATACAAGTCCTATGTGAACAAGATATACGAAGAAATCGGAAAAATACATCAATGAAAAAATGGAAACAACTGATACGAAACCGTTTGTTTGCTGGGTTTTGTTGCCTCTTTGAGGTGACTTGCAGTGTGAGTTGCTCACATGTTACCCCCCGGTAATCAAACATGGCAATGACAAATCCTCTATACGTACTATTGAAACCCAACAGTTTTCTGCTGTTGGGAATAAACGGAGTTTTTAATGGGAAAACCATCTATTCATGAAGGATTTCACATTGCTATGTTTGATTGCCGGAGGGTAAGTACAAAAAATGATGGACCTTGGCCCTCCGATTTTGCGTATGCTGCGTTGGATCCAAACTAATGGGTCGTCAACCTTTGCTCTCGCACCTTTGCTCATTACCAATCGCCATGCGGTGGCGGAAGTTTTAAAGATAGGTAACCTGTAGGAGAATTTATATTAAGTTACTCGCACATAGAATATTCAAAATTTCTTAGACCACAGATAGAACACCCAGAATCCATAACAGGTAAAGTTTGACAGATAGAATATTCAAGATAATCACAATAGATCAAATAAATCCATGGTGGATTTCTTCATACCACACCGCATTGCATCACGCACGTGCAGCAAACACTTTCTTTTACGCACATAGCTCTCCAGCTATGTCTATATCACACAGCCTTTCGGCGATTTTGGCAGTGTTTGCAAACTTCAAGCGTAATAAGCTCTGAAGCTTTCGTCTTCCCAAGGCAGTTCTTGTCCAAATGCACCTAACAGGTTCTGGCATTTGTTCAAAGGTGGTTGTGTTTGCCCAAACTGTCAAATAACTCGATATATATATCCAAAATTTGGTGTACAGCATACACATGCATAACAAAACAAAAAGTGTTTCGCTTTGGTCTTTTGGAACCATGCATGGCCTTGCTCTTTTGCCCTGGAAGCATATATACTTCTTTATGTGCATCATTTGGCGGTGTCTTTGCAGAAGCTCCCGTATTGCATGGTTTCGGTTTCGCCACAATATGTTTTGGAGCCCAGGCTGAACACCACATGGTCTTGATGTCCCGGAAAATGCACATCATGAGGTAGATCACCACCAAAGGGAAAAGAATATCCCCAAGCTCCATCATGGCAACCGGTTCTGTGAATATTCTATCTGTTGATTTTGAAAGTTTTTATAAAGAAAAAATATATCATCAAAGTTCAGTGGTTTATTGAAAGAATAATCAAAAACCATTGGAAAAAAATCAATGATTTCTTGAAAGTATCATCAAAAACCGTTGGAAAAATCAATGATTTATTATATCTGTTGCTTTTTGGAGCAGCTGCCGGACTAAAATCAAATACATGGTCTCAAACCCCAACTTGTTGCCAACAGCAGCCAGCGTTGCTAGCACACTGCATCAAACATGCCGCGATCGACCCCTGGCTGGTTGTTTCCCCAGAGCTATGAGGTTCCCTGAATATTCTATCTGTTGAGTTTGAGTGGTTTTGAAAAGAAAACTTATATGAAAGCAAAGTCGCACTGGGTTTTGGGACACATTGGTTAGCTTCCTTTTCTCATCATCATCGGCCACGCTGCTTCTCGATACCATGGACAATTATCCAGGTGAGGCCGTCCATTTCATAGTCATCATCACCAACAGGTCCTGGAATAAGAAACGTACAAATGTAAAGTGCAGGCATGGCATAAAAATAATAGAGCCAATATTGATTGTGACATACAAATACGCAGTACTTGCATAAGCGATGTATCGAACTATATCTTGTATATTCTGATATTTGTATATATTATATATATATAGATATTATAAGTATATTAATGTATGTTGTATGTATATACAAAGATGATTTCTTTCCACTCCAAATTGAAGTGACTGTCCTGGAGCTGCATCCTTCTTGTCATAGTCTTTCGAGTTCTGTCCTCAGAGATGGCCGAGCGCCATATCAGATATCAGTTTTTGCCGTTCGTTCATATGTGATGAATATTCTATCTGTTGATGCTGAGCATCCATAAACAATGCAAAGAACAAATTTGTTGTGTTTTCACTTTCTTTTGGAGACTGTATACTGCAGTATTCTCATCAAGAAAACCCTGGTCCTGCAGCGTCTTTCATGGATGGGCTCTCCTTTGATGCCTTTAGTTCCTCTCCTTGCTGGCGGTTGTTTGGCACACAGTTATTTGCCATGTGCACTTCATATAAAATTGGTTTCCTCTATATTCTGAATATTCTATCTGTTGATTTTGAATGGTATTTCATATCACCCCATACACAGAAACACCTACATATAATATAATATGTATATGTAAATAAACATATACATATATATGTATTATATATGTTGATATTGGCTAGGACATGTGTGTTGCTGCCAAAGGAAATATGTTAGGTGAACAACACCACAACCGCAACAAAACTGCTTTGTTCAAAAACCAATGTTTTGCGATGAGGAAATTGATGCTTTCATCATCTTTCAAAACCCTGCTCCTGGCTCTGCATTGTTCTTCGAGGACGATGCACCCTCCCTTGCTTCCACTCCTGACCGTGGTTTGCCCCAAAATTGGTTTCCTCTATGTTCTGAATATTCTATCTGTTGATTTTGAATGGTATTTCATATCACCCCATACACAGAAACACCTACATATAATATAATATGTATATGTAAATAAACATATACATATATATGTATTATATATGTTGATATTGGCTAGGACATGTGTGTTGCTGCCAAAGGAAATATGTTAGGTGAACAACACCACAACCGCAACAAAACTGCTTTGTTCAAAAACCAATGTTTTGCGATGAGGAAATTGATGTTTTCATCATCTTTCAAAACCCTGCTCCTGGCTCTGCATTGTTCTTCGAGGACGATGTACCCTCTCTTGCTTCCACTCCTGACCGTGGTTTGCCCCAAAATTGGTTTCCTCTATGTTCTGAATATTCTATCTGTTGATTTTGAATGGTATTTCATATCACCCCATACACATAAACACATACATATAATATAATATGTATATCTAAATAAACAAATATATATATATGTATGATATATGTTGATATTGGCTAGGACATGTGTGTTGCTGCCAAAGGAAATATGTTAGGTGAACAACACCACAACCGCAACAAAATTGCTTTGTTCAAAAACCAATGTTTTGCGATGAGGAAATTGATGCTTTCATCCTCTTTCAAAACCCTGCTCCTGGCTTCGCATTGTTCTTCGAGGAAGATGTACCCTCTCTTGCTTCCACTCCTGGTGGCCGTTGCTTTCCATTATGTTCTGAATATTCTATCTGTTGATTTTGAATGGTATTTCAAATAATGTATATATATATTATATGCTGGTTCGGCTAGGACATGATGACATATATTTTCTCAACCCCCCGTCCTGCATCGTCACCAGTCTCAGCCATCCATTTCTGCAAAGCTTGCTGTAGGTTTGCATCACCTTCGGCCTCTCTCTTCTTGGTCCTAGCCTTTTGGGTTCGTTGGTTCTTTGCGTCCATGATTTTCCGTAGCTTCACCTCTTTTTTGTTCCATGGTTTGGGTTCCCACCTCTGAGCGTGCACCATGGCACACAGATGGCACAAGTGGGTTTGTTGCTTACATCCATGTGTGCTTGAAGTTGTGTATGCATGCATCTGTGCCTTTTTTGCTTCACTTTACGTGCATGCGCATTCAAAATGACGTATCCATGTCTATGTAAAAACTGTTTGTTGGCCTGTGGTAATTTATATCGTTCCGATCAGTTTGAGCCACCTAGCTGCGGTACATACCATGTTATGGCAGCCAGCAGAGCTGGCACGCCACTTACCCATGCAAGACTAGGTTGTGGCAGCCAGCGTGGCTAGCACACCATCAACCAACCCTGAACCTGACAACAAAGCAAAGCTGAACTACTTGTGGGCACGGCAAGTCTCAAACCGAAATCTTGGAACAACAATTCATCGAATATTCTATCTCTTGATTTTCGAAGGAATTCAAATTCATTCACTAATGAATTTCATGCTTTGCCAGCAGCACTCCTTTTCCCAAGCTTTTCCCAATCTGTTCCAATTTCAACTACAACACGTTTGTCGTGCGCAGATATGCATCTCATGCAGGTATGGTACTCATCCACTAGGATGTTTGGCTTCGTAGCCGAGGGCGAGCTCAACAACCATCCAAATCGTTTGACCCATGGAATCATTAAACACATGTTTTCAATCATGTTTTATATATGCACATGTGTATATACATATGTATATATTTTTATGTATATATATATATACATGCCTATATGTGTATCTCTGTATATTTGTATATAGATCTAAATGCAGAAAACAGTATCACTCGATGTGGATGGCACACTTCGCCACATCACGGTAGTTTGAATTATTGAATTGAAGAAATGGTGGCCGATCAGGCTTCTTTCCATGCCTTTGTGACCCTTGCCAACTGTCCTTTGGCCAGTTTGTCGCTCTTGTTGGCAGCGACATGATCCTCCAAGATGAGCATCAAGACTTCCAGCAATGCTTTTTTAGGACTTCGATTTGGACCCCATGTTCTTCCGTAATGCTTGGAACCTGGGTAAGATCCACGCCATGTAGAACCACCCGGAAACACGCCCAAAGTTGCTCCTTCAGGCTTCATGACCAGGCCAGCCGCCTTTAACTCAATGTACTCCGGTCGACTTTCAGCCACTCTAATCTTGTGACCTGATGTTCCACCTGCATGGGCTTCTGGATCTTTGGGTTTTCCTTTGTCCACGGTGTCCTTCACATTCTCCTCCCCTTCGGACTCTGAATCTGAGAAGGCCCAATGCCACCCATCCAGGTCCTTGGGAATGAAGCCCTCCTTGATTTCAAACTCGAAATCAATTTCCTCCTGATTGTTACCTTCACCCTCATCATGGTCATCTTGATCTTCATTGCCTCCATCTTGAATAGCATCATGAATATCTTGCTGTCCTGTCGTGCCGGTTTGTGTGCAATATTCTATCTGTCGGTTTTGGTATGGTATATTTACTAGGCCCACTAGGCTATTTACACAAGAAAATAAGAACACACCTATACATAAATATTGCGTATCTGTATCTTTTGCACTGGCACTAAAACACTGGGGTTCCATGTACAGGTGTCTCCTGGAACATGATCAAGCTCTTTGGGGACTTCCTTCACCGGTTCAACTCCCTGCATCAGAGCAAGGCGAAAGACCTTGCCATCTCCAGCACGAAGTTTCAACTGAGACGGGTCTTCAGACATCTCCAAGTGGATCACGATACAGCTCTTGCTGATGAAATTGGCTCCTTTTTTCTGCACATTCATAACCTGGCTTTCACGGTCTTTGTTCAAGATAATTCGCCGGGTACCTGCATGTTGCACCCATGCCTGCATCAGGGATGAACTAGGTGCCACATATATGTGGGTTGCACCTGCCTCGATACATTTCAATATTCGTGTTGATGCATGATGAGGCACAATACAAGTATATAAGTATATGTATATATACATATGCACTATAGAAAAATGTCAAGATGTTTTGATATAAAACCAAGCACATCTTGGAGCTGCGTTGAAACATCAAACCTGGCCTTGTACTTTTCTTCAGCTTTCTTGGATAATTCCGGTTTTCCCGTGGTCTCCAAGCGTTTTTGTCGTTTGCTTTCCCATTCATCTTGCTCACGTCGCCAAATGGAAATTGTTCGGTCCACCGGAATTTTGAACCAACCTGGTAAAGGAATCGGCTGGCTGTCACTGGCTGCAGATCCATCTTCCAGCACACACCAGTGTGTCACACTTTCACCTGTCATGCATATGCACAAACTTGTCCATGACATGCATTCAAAGACATCGTCAACTATCGAAAGTTCTTACTTGACTATATACTTTTGAACATACAGTAGCTGACAGATTCTTTGTGATTTTTGTAGCACATGCATGCAACAGTTCAGTTGTTTTTTGTGATTGTTTGCCCTTTCCCACCGGGAAGTACACATTGCTGCGCTGCTTTCACGAGCTTCTTCTCCTCAGAATCTCCCGTTTCAGGTAGGCTTTGTAAGGAAAGTAGTTCCCTCATGCACCCGGCTGTTCGTTTTAGAACCTCCTCCACCTTCGACCTGTCTCCATCGAAGCGCCATTGACATAGGTCCTCGGAGCTCACTAATCCACGGCTGAGCCAAGCAAACATGATCATCTTCCCTCCTTGGTAGTTCTTGAGGGCTGTGAGGGCATAGGCGTCAGATCTGATGCTTGATTCGAAATTGGTCCTCAGTTTTGAATTCTCAGGCAGAATATTCTATCTGTAGATTTTGGAGAATTTGGTAAAGGAAACTATCCAAAAAAAAGCTGCCAAAATTCCATTTCACTTGTAAGTGTATCTCACCATAGGTGTATATATATATACCTGGTTAAAAATACATACATATATACGTACATAATATATACAGCTATATATATATATATATATATTATACGAATGTAGCTCAAAAGAACTAAGTGTCGAGTACCGGACTGACCCGTCCACCGCCAAGTCCAGCTGACCTAGAGCTTGTCTGAGCTCGAGGTAACGCCCTTGTGAAGATGCGACCTTTTGGTAGGACTGCCGTAGTAAGTGGTACCATTGGTGGAACCCGTCGTTCGGTGCTCCACTTGCTCCCCATCCAGGAGGGACCTTCACCAGGTCCTTTGTAGAACCATGGATGATAATGGCATGGTTTTCAATCTGCCACCTTTGGCGTAGATGTTCGAAGGCCTCGCATGAGTGCACGGTTGCCTTGTCACAAAGCACCAAAGCTTTGCCGTCTGCCAGAGTCAATTTGTGTTTCATCCTTTTCACTCTCACCTGCACAGACAACCATTCTAGAAAATGAAGCATCGTACAGGAACTCCACATGTGTGTTCGGCTGTCCTGGTTGTGGATGTGAAGAACTCCCTCTAATTCTTCATTGAGCTTTTGCACAACATGATCGGGAGCCGTGCCATCTCTGATGGTTATCCAAGCAGATGCCAGGTCACCATCTGCCCAGCTCAGCGTTGTCGTTGTTCGAGGAAAACGCCAGTTTTCAACTGGACTGATGTTTGCTTGGGCATTCAAAACCACGGGTTTCACAATGTACCCTGGTTCTTCCCAATCATCTTCCTCGAGCAGCAGAGCTTGACGAATCGATTTCATCATTTTTTGTACTGATGGTTTTTGGCGTGATGGATGCTCACCTTCCTTTTCGAATGGCTTGTGCCAGACACGTTTGGAATGATTGTAGTTTGTCGTCCAAACTTGATCAAAATTGCACACCAACTGCTTGCACACGTTGTGTGTCTCGCTGCATCTTTCTACAAAAGTACGTACTGCAGCAACCTGTGGGTGCTCGTAGTCCAAGTGCTTGCCAGGAGCACCATTCGTATGACTCCTCAAGCCAACACGATTGAATAATCTGTGAGTAGCAAGCCTTGCATGCTGGTTTGCGACGAACACAACCATATTCACACATATATCTCCCACATTTCATGTTGACAAACATTTGAACACTGATGCATGTGTATACAGGCACTTGGGGTGCGAGCAATGCGAGCCAGCAATGCTGGCATGCCACAGTTTTAGGGGTGTACATCTCCCAGCTGGAATATTCTATCTGTTGTTTTTGGCCATTTCCAAGAAAGGAAATTAAACTGAAAATTGCAAAAGCCGTTGCAACCTAGAGACTTCAATGCCGTTGATGTGTCTTCGATTTTCACAATCTTCAACTCTGCCAGCGTTTCCTTCAAAGCATCCATTGCCTTGGCAGATGCCTCTTTTTGGACCTCTTCACCTGCTACGTTTGGATCTTGCTCATCTAATTCCTGTAAGGCTTTGGCCCCTGCTGACGATGCCAAGTCCTCTCGAAGTTGCTTGATATTCTTGTTCCAAACGTTGATGAGGTCATGAAGAAGATTCTGGCCAAACAATGAGTCATTCTCTTCACCCAGCAACTGCCTACCCAGGATAATCTTTTCAAATGCCACTGCCAAAGGGGCTGGTATGGAGTGAGTGACGCCATCATCTTGAAATCTGCCCTGGTGCCATTTCCCTGCCTCAGGAAGGAGCAGTGATGCTTGGGACATGCAAACACGTATATAAATATGTACATGTTTACCTGCATATGCACAAATCAACAATAGTATTTGGATTTGGCACATGCATATTTGCACTATATACATAAGAAAATTGAAAACGTTTCTCATGCAGATGCTAGGTACCGAAACGCCCAAAACTTCCAGCAACGCGTTTGGAACTTCATGCACCTTTTTGGCCAATTTCGGGCAATGTTTGACAAACTCGTCCCATTTGTATTTTTCTCGGCTGCCCAACCATTTGGCTTGGGATAAACAGCCCTGGTAGCCACCCTTCATCTTTCCATTCTTCAACATCCAGGATTCCACATGTTTGACAGTGCCAAGTTGTTTCAGTCGCTCGTATTCCTGAATAATTTGCATCTTTTGCCAAACAGTAAGAGATGTTGCTTTCCCCTGCCGATCAGCTTTCGATAGGTCAACAGCTTTTGAACCCTTTGGTCGTCCTCTACCTCTCTTGATCTTCTGTCCTTGAGAAGCATGAGCAAGGATCCGGTCAACCTGTTGCGACGGCATTGAGCCACTGGGATCTGACTGCTTTCCCTTGATCCTTTTCATAGGAGGCTGAGGTACATGGGGTAGATGCTTGTTTTCCACACTGTCAGCAGCCCTCTTGCGTTTTTCCTGCTGTGTTTTGCTTACCTTGGGTGCTGGTTGTTCATCTAGATCTTGAGCAAATGCCACCTGTGATGATCGTTTCTCACCCTTTGAAACTGATGCGTCCTGCTTCGTGTGCTTTGTTTTCTTGATGGACCCCCACCCAGCTCCATTGACCAAAGACGCCAGAAGGTTGACTTGCGCTGTAGTTGATGCAAAGCTGTTGCCTGGTCAAGGAGAATAATGCACTGTATAAGCGCTTTCGTATTGTATGTACAACACACACACACATATATATATATGTATATGAGCTTAACAGATGCTTGGTGCAGATTGCATATGCAATATTCTATCTCTTGAATTCTGTTGGTGCAGTAGCATGGTTCTTGCTAGTTTCTGTTAGCAGCCCAGCCCCTCCTTCCCATTTCCGTCCTGCAAGATCTTGAGCTTGCACCTGATTCTTCATGAGATCGTCGACGGCAGATCCGTTGGGGAACGCAGACTCAAAAAGACCCTGGCAAATCCACAATTCCTTTGCCGTCAGGCATCTCCCAAGGAAAGAAGAATATATGTGATGCGTGGGTCTGATGCAGGTGGCGATATGCTCTGCTGCCTCCGGCTTTCTGTTTTTCCCCGATGATGTATCCATAAAGACATCTGGCACCACTGAGAAATCACCACTCTTGAGTTTATATTCAGCAATGGCTTGATCCAGTTTCTTCTGTTGGCTTTCGTTCTTCAAACGCTGCTTGGGTAGACTCAAGTCAAAGACTTTGGAATAATCAAGCAATGCTGTTCCAGACATGCTATCAATCGTTTTTTTCATCCTGTTTTGAAAGGTATGTTGGTCAGAGTCTCCCATCAGGTCTGCCACACCCCAAATACGGGTTCTGCGCTGCCGCAGTAGGAAGGATGAGGCATCAAGTTTTTGCCACGCGAAGATGTAGCCCAACTCAGCCAAATCTTCAGCTACAACCTTCCAGGGCCATTGATTAGCAATATTCTATCTGTTGGTAACCGATGTAAAATTGAAAGAACCAGTATTGCATACAAATCAAATTAAGAGTATGTAAGAAGATTTTTCAAACGAGTATATATATATATAGTTATGTAAAGATATGTCGATAAATACTTATTTGCCACAACACACCTGTATACAGCATCTCTCTTTCAATATGAATTCCAGTGATGTAACCCCAATGCCCAATGCCCCCAATATGTCCAGCACCCAATCACAAATCAAAATTGGTCCATAAATCAAGTCCAACCCAAACAAGTTTGGTTGAACTTGGTTTTTACCCTTAAAATATGCTCAAATTACGCTGTTCTTATAGTGACCATACATATATATATATACATGTCAGGAGTTTTCAAAAACCAGGTCCTCCACTCGAGGTCGTTGAGGTTCGCCGTTTTCATCTTTGACTGAATCAGCTACCCCTTTGGTGTTCTCGAAGAAAGCTATTGCAGGGCATGTGACTTGTACTGCCTGCTTAAAGCCATATCGGTACGTGTGGCCGGAACAACCTTGATGATCAGAGTAGCAACTAGCCCACTTTGGCATGTTGGAATTCTCATAGCTTATTCCCTTGCACGATGGACCACTGAAGAACACGTCACAGGTCACAACTGTGGAGTGTTTCTTGTTGCACGTGTAACACCAAGCATCTTTTTGGTCCATCACTGCAACATCATCGAACAAGCAGAATGAATGCTCTTCCCCTGGAATCGTGTGGGCACGCTTGATGAATTCACGTTTGAACTCCTCTATCTCAATGCTTAGCACATGCCGCACATCCACATGTACCTTGGCCGATGGTAGGGTTGAATATTCTATCTGTGCTTTTTTGATAGTCCTGTGAAAGGGCATTTGTAAAGAAAATTGCCTAACAAGTTTTGGTGGTATCTTTACTGTTTACATTTATGCATATTTCGTACATAAATAAATAAATAAATGTATATATATATATACACATACACACTGTCATTCTCTGCAAACTAGATGCATTGAAGTGCCGAGCAAGGGCTTTGAATGTCGCCTTCATCACAGACACTGCAATATCCGTGCCGGAGCACGCAGTTCCCACCTTGATTGTGCAGTTGTCCAAACCGACCATTGTTTTCCCAAGTCGTTCTAGATCTTCGGCACTCAGAAGAGACATAAAGTACCCACAGGTTTCCTCCAGGTTCAATCCAGGCAATGGGATCGCATCTCTTGAGACCAACCTCTTCAAAGGAATTTTGAAAGTCATGTGGTGAACCTTCCCCATGATTGTCAATGGCTTCTCAAATTTTTCTAGTCCAACAAACTTCCATATATACAACGGCTTCTTGTCTTGTAGCAATCTAGCTCGCCACAAGTCCCTGACTTCCCGTGAAGCATGTTGGAAGGACTCTTCCCGTCGCAGAGCTGCAAATGTAGTGATACGTTCCTGTTGTGTGACTTCAGCTGTCCCATATACACACTGTGATGTTGGCGAGGCAAGGTGCACAGTTCCCATGACACTTTTGTTTGATCGAATCATGACAACATCTTTGGGTGTCTGGATATCGCTCAAAATTCTGTCCAAATCAGTACCTGATACTCGAATCACAATCGCATTTGCATCAGAATCAGAAGCACAGTTTCCCATATTTTCATCATCATCATCATCATCAGCTGTTTCAATGGGAGCATGGTGTGCCGTTTCTGCTGCTGCTGCTGCTGGTGCCTCTCGATCCTCCACAGAGTCATCAACTGATGTCAAAGCTTCAGCTTTGCTGTTGTCTTTCTGGGTGCTGCTTGGTGAAGAAGATTTAGGTGTAGGTGCCTTGCTGTCCGGAACAGAGTTTGAATCTTCTTGTTCACCTTCTTCTTCATTTTCTCCTGAATCTGTTTCTGATTCGCTGGTCCTACTCTGTGGCTGGAAGTTTCTGATTCGATCGTCCAGTGACTTAACCTTGCTGTACTCGGAAGATTCTGTGGCTAAGTCTGGCTGCCAGTCTGGCTCTAGCTTTACTGATTGCTCGAAGTCGTCATCAGATAGACTTAGTGTTCTTCGTGGAGGCCCCCCACCATCTTCAATTGAGGCGTCCAACATGTCTTCGAAGTCGGTTTGTGCTTGCTCTGATGGTGCTTCTGATGGTGGGGGTAGTGGATGTAATGCTTCCTGTTGTGCTGGAACTGCTGTTTGCTCTTGTACTTCTGCCTCTGGACTTGTTGCTTGCTGTGATGGAACTGCTGCTTGCTCTTGTGCTTCTGCCTCTGGACGTGCTGCTTGCTGTGATGGAACTGCTGCTTGCTCTTGTGCTTCTACCTCTGGACGTGCTGCTTGCTGTGATGGATCTGCTGTTTGCTCCGGTGCTTCTGCCTCTGGACGTGCTGCTTGCTGTGATGGAACTGCTGCTTGCTCTTGTGCTTCTACCTCTGGACGTGCTGCTTGCTGTGATGGATCTGCTGTTTGCTCCGGTGCTTCTGCCTCTGGACGTGCTGCTTGCTGTGATGGAACTGCTGCTTGCTCTTGTGCTTCTACCTCTGGACGTGCTGCTTGCTGTGATGGATCTGCTGCTTCCTCTTGTGCTTCTGCCTCTGGACGTGCTGCTTGCTGTGATGGAACTGCTGCTTGCTCTTGTGCTTCTGCCTCTGGAAGTGCTGCTTGCTGTGATGGAACTGCTGCTTCCTCTTGTGCTTCTGCCTCTGGAAGTGCTGCTTGCTGTGATGGAATTGCTTGCTCTTGTACTTCTGCCTCTGGACTTGTTGCTTGCTGTGATGGAACTGCTGCTTGCTCTTGTGCTTCTACCTCTGGATGTGCTGCTTGCTGTGATGGATCTGCTGTTTGCTCTTGTGCTCCTGCTTCTGGACTTGTTGCTTGCTTCACTGCTTCTTTGGGTTGTCCTTGGGGCGCAGGTGGTGGTTGCTCTGCAATTGATGTCGGCTCGGGCTGTGCTTGTGTCGGATCTGTTGTTTCTGTTTGCTCCGGTGCTTCATCTGCTGGCAGGTGTGTTGAATCTGTTCCTGATGAGAGCTGCAATGTTTCTGATGGTGCGCTGGAATTTGGTAGTGACAATGTTTTGTCTTGCACTGGGCCGGAGAGCACAATGACGTTCTTGTCTGTCACTTCTACCTTTGATTCCTTGTGGATTCCATCTTCTTTTGACATGAGAAAGTTGAAGTGTCCATACTCTTGGCCAGTTTCAGGGTTGGCTTGGTATCGGAAATAGACATGGATTTGGTACTCCGAACCTCCTTGGCCTCCATAAACTGCATCTTTGGCGGGACACGTGCCCATGTTTGCCAGGTAGATCTCACAGGCCTCGCAGGAAAGTCTTATATAGATAAATAAATATATATATATGGTAATTTTCTGGATATGTGATACATATGTACATATACAAATACATATGTATACAGGCACTTGGTGTGCTAGCAATGCTGGCATACCATTGGTTTTGATTGGCGAGCCAGCAATGCTGGCATGCCACAGTTTTAGGGGTG